TTGGAATTTTGGAAAATTGGAATTTTGGAAAATTGGAATTTTGGAAATTGCCTTTGGGGGAGGGGGGGGGTTGAGGCAGAATAGTATTCTTTCAGTGGCACAAAAATCAATAGAAACGCAATACAAATATAGAAACAAAATACAAACAAAATGAAACAATGCAAAAACCGCGCCGCTCAGAGCGCTCCTTTCTGATATATATATATATATGCTAGCCCCCCCCCAAAACCCACCTTAGTCTTGGATGCAATCATTCGAAACATTGATATTAATGCGTGCAAATGTAACAGAAGCACTAATTGAGGGTAGCTTGTAGATAAATATTTCGAAGATTGCATTGGAAACATGGGTGTATGTGTGCAAAGATGGCAAACGCGCCACATGAATGTAAGACTTTCAAGCGGGTGTTTGAGTTTGCACCTTGAGTGTATTGAAAAATATTCTGCCGACAAAAAACACAAAATATTGAATTAAAATTGACTTTAATGTTTAAATATTTTGAATATTTTGCCTTTCAAAATTTGGAATATATTAAATATTGACTTCAAAGGGGTTGCCAATTCCAATAATCACTTTAATACTTAAACCATCTAAACCATTATTGAATTAAACATACTTTGTATCTGGCAAAATATTTAAAATATTGAAAAATTATATTGAATTAAAAATTAACTTAATGTTGTATGGTCTTTTCAATTTAAAATTATTACTGGAATTGACAACCCTCTTGAATTACATATTTGCACAAATATTCTAAATGTTCTGCCTTTTAAAACACATTATTTTGAATTACAATTGAATTTAATGCTTAAAAAATGTTAAATAGTTCGCCCAGTAACAATACTGAAAATTGTTAAAACTATTGAAATCAAAGGGGTTGCCAATTCAAGTAATCAATTTAATATGTCAAACATTTAAACCATTCATGTCAGTTTTGATTCAATAATGAACATAGTTTAGCTAATGTTTAATGGGCGAAATCTTTAAAATATGTAAAACACTTAATTCACTATTCAATTATTTAAATATGTTAGATACTTTTCAATATGCAAATAATTTAAAAAAGCCCAAAATAGTGCATTGAAATTGAATTTTATGTTTTAAATTGTTGGCATGTTTTATACTAAATTGATTCCTGGAATTGGCAACCCTCTTGAATTCAATATTTTAAATATTTCGCCTATTAAACATATTCAATTAAAAAACTTGAATTTAGGGTGTTAGAGATTTTCAATATTTCGCCTATTAAAGAATATTTAGAATATTTAACCTATTGAATTCAAAGGGGTTGCCAATTCCAGGAATCAATCTAATATTTCAGACATTGAAAAACATTTGTTTCAATACTTTTAATATTTCAAGCATTATTTTAATAGGTACACTATTTAAACTATTTAACGCATGAAATACAATTTTCATTCAGTCTTTTAAATGGTTTAGATACTTTTTGGTAGGCATAATATGTAAAAAGAAAAACTAAAATATTGATTTTTCAATATTTTGCAGATATTTTCAAAGTGAATTTACTATTTTAAAAATATTAAATGTTGCGCCTGTTAAAAAGTTAAAATACTTAAACTTAGACTTAAACTATTGAGCTCAAAGGGGCTGCCAGTTCCAAAAATCACTTCAATATTTACGACATTTAAAGCATTGAATTCAATTGTTATTCAAATAAACTAAATGCTTTGTCATAGCTTGACTGGCATAGATCTCTATCTTCAGACTTGCTGAGAACAAATCAAGAGATCTGTGTAGTTGGGGTGCGCCTCCAGTATGACCTAGAAAACTAGAACACCAAAGTTTAAAAACTGCACAGACCTATGCCCGCAGAGTTGTGCAGTTTTGGAACTTTGGGGGGCCTCCAAAGTTCCAAAACTGCTGACCCCATGACCTGATCATGGCGACTCTGGGGACATAGGTCTGTGCAGTTTTGGAGTTTTGGAGCTTTGGTTTTTTATAAGACATTTTTATATACAACAATATGCATAAAACATTGTAAATACATGTGCATACTAGAAACTTGATGACAGGGTGTTTCTTTTGGGGGGGTACCATATATATATATATATATATATGCATATATATATATATGACAGGGCCGGCTGTGTGTGTGGGGCTGTGGTCGGTGTGTGCCTGTGTAACCATCTTTGCAGCTGCAGTCAGGTCCTGGCAGTCCATTGAGCAAGTCTCCCTTGCAGGGTGCGGGCTCACACTTGCCCATGGCAATGGAGCCGTTCCACAGGATTTGGCCAACCTGGATGCACTTTTGTTAAAGCATTCAAATTTGGCATATCATATAATATATGTATATCAAACAATGATCTCCGTAAGAAGAATAACTAATCACCCTTTGGTCGCTGTTGATCACCCGCCGTTTTCGAGTCTGGGCGACGGTTCAACATGGTTCAACACATGTCCTGTACGACTGCAGTGCCAACCTACGTTATCAGGAACCGTTGAAAGCACGGATTGGCCGCTTGCTGGGCGATCTGTCGAGAGCTTGGTGGTCCCCTATAGTAGCAAGCCCCGCTGACCGGGTGATCTCCTTCAATGACCCCTTGATCAAAAACAATCTTAAAATCAGCTGAACTATGCTGAGCTGCATATTTGTCTTGACATTTGCAATTGGGTCCAGCTTCTCCAGTTGACTTGGCCACATCGCAACGTGCAGGAGTGCAAAGACTGCTCAAGCTCTTGTAGCCCTTGGCCGGGATCTCCCTTAGTGGATGTAGGCCATGTTCATGCAATCGGGCTAGCAAATCTTCCACAAAACTGCATTCTATCCACCTGTGCTGGCAGGGAACCAACACACTATCACTACCCACTTGCTGGCTGTGCCCCTACTCGGACACCCAAAAATTTGTTGGAGCTTTTATTCACGAAAAAAAACTCTCTGGCTCAAATAGTTCCAGGTGTCAAGGACCTGGAGGAGTTAAACCTCAAAGATCCTTTGTACCCTCCACAGCACTTGCAGCCCTCCAGCGTGCAGTCACACAGGTGGTGTTCTCCTCAGATATATTTGCGCGTTGTATGGCCAACAGTTTGAAATCCTATTGTTGAACCTTTTAACTTAAAACCCCGACCTGTAAGATACAACCAGCGGCCGTACTGTTAAATGCACTCTGTCAGTCGTTTCACCGAACGCCAAAAAAAACTAGACCTAGACTAAACAAAGGACACTCCACCTCTGCAAATCCCAAGCCGCGCTTTGGTGTCAGCTCCACAGGAATCTGGGCAAAAGAACAGCGAAGTCGCATGGTATAGTACAGGGATGGGGATGAATGGGGTGTCAACACCCTGATTGTGAGGGGGCATGGCGAAGTGGGATAGCATCCGCGCGGTTTTTCAAGGTGTTGAATTCTGGATACAGTCGGTTTTGATCTGATGCTGGAGGCTTGTCCACACTACCCAATTCAAAACAGGATGCTCTGAGCCTGCGTTTTTTAACTTTTTGACTACTATCTGACTATCTCACTATAGTAGTATTTGCTTGTTCTCAGAAGGCCTTAGCTGCCTTAGCATGGCTATTTGCATTTGCTGTCTGCTGTCCGGTTTTGGCCCATGCCTAAATCACCAAAAGCAAAAACAACAAAAACAAAATCAATGTCTGAGGGACAGGTCCTGAGACATACCTGTGAGGTGAATGTTGTTAATTTGTTTTTATGTTAGCTGCCCTCCTCCACTTCCACCTCCACCTCCACCTCCTGCTCCTCCGCCTCCTCCTCCTCGCAGTGTTCCCCGCCGGACCGCAACCGCCAGTGGAACGAGGGTCTACATGATTGAGGCTGCAACCTACACGTGTGAGGACAATGCCGTCAACACAAAAACATATATCATTCAAGTACTTAAATGCTGGGAAGGCCACCAACTGCGTTCAAATGCCCTGCTCCCCTCTGACACCAAACACTCGGAGTTCTGCATGTTCTGATTGTGTCGTCCCCCCGAAACTAATCCGCAAGGATCTGCAAGTTTGAGGTGTTCAACAAATTGAAATCTTGTTCGCGATTGGTGTTGCAAATGTCAGCGCCATTGAGGCTGTTCAGATGCTCTTTGGTGGAGCCGACACAAGCTGCACGGGCGGATCCTTCGTTGGGAAAATACTGTTTGTTGGGCAACTTCATGGAAAACGACGGTCTTTAAATAAACAATATTAAAAAACAAAAACACGTCCCCCAGGAATTAAACATCGAAGTAATCGAAACCGTCTATCCAGAAAACTCCCGTGCTACAAGTGGAATGGATTCAATTGAAATGACTGCCCAAACTTATGATTTGTGACCTTTAATGTTGGATGTTGATAAATAATAGGGCCCTCTATAATGCTAAAATTGTCCAAATAGGATTGACCCCATGATTGTCTTCCAGAGAAGGAGACACCCTGGGAGTGCGTTTGTTCATCGTGTTGTTATCATGTTTACATGTCATACGATTTTTTTGCTTGGCACATCTGCAATGGCTATATCATGCTATATCATTCATTGTGACAAAAAAGGTCAAATGATTATAGTGTTAAGCCCTTCGGAAACCTGTGAACACCAATAAGCCAATGGCTGGCTTGCTGAGACTATTGATAAGTATTGGTTTAGGTTTCTGTAGTTCTTCTTCAATACTCACAGCTTCCGTAAAGCTTTCAATTCCTTAAATCAACCCTCGATGTAAAAATTTTTCCTAAACAAATGTTCAAAGTAGTAGACCAGGAAGGCCCCTGATCCTCAGGGAAAACATGCCGTAAGGAATCTCAATTGTGCAAAGCTTTTTCGTCAGAGATAATACCAAAAAAACGAGCACCTTAATGCTACTAAGCCAATGGCTGGTTTGCTGAGAGTATTGTTGGTAGTCATCGGTTTCTTTAGTTCTTCAAAGCTCACAGCTTCCCAAAGCCATCAGTTCATTGATCAATCCTTTATGTAGGGATTGTTCCTAAACAAATTTTCAAGGTAGTAGACCTGAAGATCTGAGGCTGCATAGGACAAGGATTGCTGAGAATATCTAATTAGAAAGAACCTGCGAAAGGAAGATTGACTACTACATCCAACTACAGAAGGAATCCTCCCAGGAACTCAGATTTGTTTCGGTGGTAGTTCATTACAGAGGGCACCCCATTGTTTAGAGGGGAGGGGGGTTCCCCTTTTACTAATCAGGATCCAACATTATTGGGAAGACTGGCATACTGACAGCGCCCAACCTGTACACAAGAAGATCTGAAGTAGCCGTGCTTCTTTCGAGCATCATCAACCAACTAGAATGCACCAAGTGCTTTCCGAGATGCATGGGTCACTGCACGGCTGCTAAAGCCTTGCAAGATGAGTTGACAGTCGCTGGATACATTGGGCGGAACATCCAGGTCCACAGGCTGGGTGAAAAACCTCGGCTGGGCGTGCCAAGTCGAGCCGGGCCCGCCAAACGGCATACGTAGCACATTCGGATGCCTTACCCACTTCTCACTCGATGCAGTATTGGTATGTCTGGGGGCTTGGATGGTGCCTGCATCCTTCCCTTGTCATGTCGCTGAAGGGGCCACAAGCCTTGAATGAGAAAACCAAACAGTGACACACACTTAGGATAGGGTGTACTGAACTGAAAGCGGTGCCACACGCC